ACATTGACCACGCAGGACCACTGAATGGAAAGATGTATCTGATCGTAGTTGACGCTTACTCAAAGTGGCCAGGAGTACTCGAAATGTCGTCGCCGTCAACTACTGCTACCCTGAGAAAACTCAGGTCACTTTTTGCACGATTCGGAAATCCCCGAGTAATCGTGTACTTCTGTGAAGAGCGAGGAATTGAGCACATGCGTACACCACCGCTCCATCCGCAATCAAATGGACAAGCTGAAAGATTTGTGGATACCTTCAAGAGAGCTTTTCAGAAAATCAAGGAGGGAGGGACGGCAGAGAAGCTCGCGAATTCCTGCAATGCTACCGACGAACGCCGAGCATGTCAACGCCTGGACAACGTTTGCCAGCTGAAGTGTTCCTGGGACGTCAGATCAGGACGTCATTAACCTTGTTGGAGGAAGTTACAAAAGAAGCACGGAGTAGCAATGAGAATATATAAGAGCAGTTCAATTGCCATCACAGAGCACGGAAGAAGTCGTGCCAAACGGAAGAATTAGTGTAGGTTCGTGTTTATCGCCCTTTATATAGAAAATGGATTCCCGCTCATGTGAAGAAACGTCATGGGCAAGTTGTGTACGACCTGCGAACAGTTATGGAGAAGACATGCGAACCAAATGCCCCGAGGAGCCAATACGGGAAGCAAGGAGTCCGAAGTCTCCACCGTTGCGGAATAAACGCCGACGAACCTGTGATGAGGACAAAACTGAGGACCGAGCCGTCATCATCTTATCGCCGACAAGAACTCGACCAAGCCGTCAACGCCGTCCGCTAGGTCCTTTAGAAAGATCCACGACTGAAGATGTGTAAGTGATCATCTTAGGAGGGAGGTGTTGTAGGGACTGTATTTAGTTATGCTGTGACTGTTCTGTCCCTATATTATATTTGATACTCAAGGCGGTAGGATATACGCCACGTCTTATATTGTTCATCCAATGTTATACCACTACTTGAACCAGTTTTGCATACGGCAGTTGTATAGGAGGCCTCTCAGTTTTTTTGTACATAAACAGTTCACCATCAAGGCGTTCCACAACATCTATAATGAAAAAACGAGTACTCTTGTAAATTAGGCAGACATGTGAATAAATTTTTTTCAACATCAAAAAGGAGCTTTCCTTTTTTGCTATGTTATCAAACAGAAGTTCATCAAAGTCTCTCCCTATATTTATAATGTGGGCCAACATGGCTTTATCCACTGTTTTTTTTGGTCACCGCGTCCTTTTGATTTTTCTTTATCGTACATAACATCCTGGTATAGTTCACGATAAAAGACATAACAACTAGTTTTCAAATGTTAACCCGACCTTTATTTGATTCCTCTAATACGAAAACTCGTTTTCAATTAATCTACTTTCAACAAAGGCGCAGCTCTTCAAACAAGCAGTCACGTCGCCGCCGCCTACGCAGCTGATTACGTAAAATTAATGGCTAAATTCTCTAAAAGCTCCCTACGTTACACTATCCCAAAGTGAAAGCGCGCTCCAAGCAAACATCACTGCAGGCCCGCTGTCCTGTCTGCACGTGTTCGTATCAAGAGGACATTGTAGTTTCCTAAATGTACAAGGAAGAATACGTTTTCGTAAGTTCCAGTCGAGAACCTTGTGCCAAACCCTGATTACAGTTGTCTTAGCGAAACGAAATGGTTTCCCAAGTTACTTGATTGCACTAAAAATTAAGAGAAATAATAAACCATTGTGTAACAAAAGCTTCAACAAGTATGCCCAAACTGTTTTATTCTAGATCAACGCAACTGCGAAATTTAGCGCTTTTGTATTGCTTGAAGGCATGTCGAGGGGTTTAGCTCAGTTACAAAGGGCTCCTTCCGTGCAGGTGGTTCCACCTGGACATGCACTGCATGGTGCGCCAGGTCGATATATTTGTTGTTCAACGGTTACCCCTCTAAAAGGAAATGCAGGGAAAATGATTCTTTTAGACAAAAAGCGTAGATTTTAGACTTACTGCGGTGAATAATGACAAACAACGGAATGAAAACCATTACATTCTGCAATCCCACAGCCAACTTGATCAACATCATGCCATGCCATCTAAAGTATTATTTGGAAATTCTGAGTTCAAGACAAATTGTCAAAATTTACTTGGGCAAATTGAGCTGCTGCACTTATATGTTTTGATCTATAGTAGACATTTGGACCAATATTAACAGGCCCTCTGCTTTGTTTCCACCAGTTTGAGATAGCCTACGATACATACATATTTGTATCAAACCAATATGAATTCAGTGTAAAACTATACCTTTCTGATGGCCTCTAATTTTGTGGGAAACGCACTTCTGTTTATTTGTGCTATATTCTCACCAAAATTTGAACCTCCAAAGCCAGAACCGGTGTTGCTACACAGTCGCGCCTGATCAAGGGCGCCGGCCTCCAGTTCGCAATTGTATTTCTAAAAAAGTTGTTATTTCCTCTTTAGCAGAGTGTCAGCGTTGTGATCAAAAATTCACCATCCTCATCATATTCGCAGCACGTGGGAACTTATTTCCATTACGTTTTGGTACTTCCCCAAGAGCCAGCAACCTTCTGTATAATAA